GGCACTTGACGGTGATGCTCTCATTGGGTGAGTCGAAGAGAGAGACCCATGACGTTGTTGCAATGGCAACGGACGCCATGGCAACCGACTCATCATCTTCATCATCGTCATCATCCTTATTGTACTATTCTTGCACAACCAAAGCCTTGGGAGGAGTCTTCTTGGTGAAGTTGTTCTTGTTGGGGAACGACTTGGCCTTGTCCTTCCGGATGAGCTTGCCACCATTGTCTTCCCTCTTCTCATACGGGCACTTCGCAACAAAATGACTTACGTTGCCGCAATTGTAGCAAGTCCTTACACGTTGCTTGCCCCTTGTGCCACTCGAGTTGTTTTTGCTAAAGTTTGGCCTTGAGTTTTTCTTGCTCCAAAATTGCCTTGAAGCAAGTGCCATGTGTTCATGATATGCATACTTCGTATCTTCGGGGTTGCTCTCCTCTTCTTCCTATTATTCTTCTTCCACGGTGAGCTTGGCCTTCAATGCAAGGTTAGGCTTCTTTGCCCGTTGAGAACGGAGCACCGCATTGTCGGCGGTCTTGTCCAAAATGTTCATGGCCACAAACTCATCCAACACTTCACTTGAGGTCAAAGTGTGGAAGTCTGGTCTCTGACGAATGACGGAGGACATGGCCTTGTGATAGGGCATCATTGCCTTGAGGAATTTGCGCTTGATCCAATTGTCATTCGTGTCCTTGCTCCCGTGATCTCGTAGTGAGACCGCGAGTTTGGTTACTCTCCGATAAAGCTCACGAGGTTCTTCATCTTCTTTCATTGCAAACTCATCGGCCTCATCTTGTACCACTTCATAATTGAAGCGTTGAATGCTTGTGCTTCCCCGATAGAGAGAGACAACACAATGCCATGCATCTTTGGCCAAGGCGAAGGGACGAAGATGAGGTAGGTCTTCGGGTGGAATTGCATCTTGAATGATGAAGAGAGCATTCTCATTGAATTAATTGTCCGCGGCTTCCCGAGAAGTGAAGTTGCTTGGATCATGTGGATAGAAACATTCTTCAATGATTCTCCAAAGGTTAGTGTTCACATGATTTAAATGACGTTTAAAGCGGTAAACCCAAGAATCAAAATCCTCATTTTTCACAATCTTAGGGGGAGGACCGGCATGATTCAAATGAGTAGAAGGAACCTCTCCACCATAAACAAGTGGTGGTTCCACTTGGGCAAAGATGCCGGTGCCATTCTTACCACTAGAAGAAGGAGCCTTTTCACTACTAGCTTCCCCCTTGTCGGGGATAGCATCCGTCACCTTGTTGGCGGGGTTACCCACTTTCAACGGTGCGGTGGATAGTTTAAGCCCCTCAAGAAATTTAGTAAACATGCTTTCAACTTCGGTCGTCGTGGAGGTTTTCAATGTCTCCAAGGCAACATTGAACTCCTCACGAGAGACCGAGGTTCCTCCACACCGTCTACGGTATCAATCATACTCTTTGGACGGTAAAGTCCTTAATAAAGAAACCTGGCTTTGATACCAATTGAAAAGATCGATATGGTTGACTAGAGGAGGGGGGGTGAATAGGCAACTACCAATTTTTAATTTTCTTTACCAAATTAAACTTTGCATCAAAGTAGGTTGTCTAGATGTGCAACTAGGTGAGCAACCTATATGATGCAATAACAACAAGCATACAAGCAAGTAAGGGAAGAAACACTAAAAGGTTTGCACAAGTAAAGTTAAGAGATAACCAAGAGTGAATCCGGTGAAGACGAGGATGTGTTACCGAAGTTCCTTCCTTTTGAGGGGAAGTACGTCTCCGTTAGAGCGGTGTGGAGGCATAATGCTCCCCAAGAAGCCACTAGGGCCACTGTATTCTCCTCACGCCCTCACACAATGCGAGATGCCGTGATTCCACTATTGGTGCCCTTGAAGGCGGCGACCGAACCTTTACAAACAAGGTTGGGGCAATCTCCACAACTTAATCGGAGGCTCCCAACAAGACCACGAAGCTTGACCACAATGGACTATGGCTCCGTGGTGACCTCAACCGTCTAGAGTGCTCAAACACCCAAGAGTAACAAGATCCGCTAGGGATGAGTGAGGGAATCGAAAATCCCTTGGTGGAAGTGTAGATCGGGGCCTTCTCAACCACTCCCGAGCAAGTCAACAAGTTTGATTGGCTAGAGAGATAGATCGGGCGAAAATGGAGCTTGGAGCATTTAATGGAGCTTGGGCAATAAATGGAGCTTGGGGGAGGAAGAGGTAGGTCAAAGAGAAGAAGGGGACTCCCTTTTATAGTGGGGGCAACAATCCAACCGTTGCCCCCCACCAACCAGCCCCGCTCAGGGCGGTACTACCGCTGAGAGGGGGCGGTACTACCGCCAGGACAACGGCACTGCCGCGCCAGCCAGCGGCACTGCCGCGCAGAGGAGACTAGTAGGAAAGGACCCAAACGCGGTACTACCGCGGTGGTAAGGACGGTACTACCGCTCCTAGAACGGTACTACCGCCTCTACAACCGTGACTAGTGCCGCAAAATCCGACACGAGAAAAAGACCTCTCGAATCGAGGCGGTAGGAGCCAGACTGCCCAGCGGTACTACGACAGCGGGGTCACGGGCGGTACTACCGCTGTGAAGCGGTACTACCGCTGTGGAGCGGTACTGCCGCTTGTGACCCTTCGGCCGTACTACCGCCGGCAGTGCGGTACTACCGCTAGGGCGCAAAAGAGAGAGAGAGAATCTCTCAAAGATGCTGAGGACGAGGCGGAGGTGCCAGGCACCCCAGCGGTACTACTGCTGTGGAGCCACGGGCGGTACTACCGCTGTGGAGTGGTACTGCCGCTTGTGGCTCCTCAGCGATACTACCGCTGGGTTGCGCGGTACTACCGCTGGGTTGCGCGGTACTACCGCTTGGACCCAGACAGGACAAGGAAGAGAGGATAGATCTCTTCAATGGAATGGAGACGCTCAGAGGGTGAGAAGCTGATGTGTACGTGATGATTCCACCCATGCAATACCCCAGCGGACCCCCTCTTGATAGTACGGTGCCCTTGACGCAACTAGTCCACCGAGAAAGAAACGAAAGAGCTACACCGTCTTGAAATACACTCCGAGGGAAAGAAAGCGTCTCGTACCAGGGAAGAATCTGTGAATTATTCAAAGCACAAGATTAGTCCGCAAACATGTTGTCATCAATCACCAAAATTACCTTGAGAGACATATGCCGTAACACTCATGCCCTAAGAGGACCAGCCCACACGTCTATGTGTGGGCAAAAACAATTAGTGCCCACACGCCTTCTTTTTTTCCCTCTCGGTCCCTCTTACACGCGTGCGTGTGGGCGAAATAGATAACGCCCACACGCGCGGTACGTCAGACCTCGTACCTCGTGGTCCCGCACGCCCCGCAGTTGCCATGGGCCGGACCCTCGTTCATGTTCGTTTAAGTGTAGTTGCCATATCGCTGAACTACGGTTGCCATGTCGGACAACTACAGTTGCCATGTTTGCTCAACTGCAGTTGCCATCTCAGGTCAAAAGTTCCAGATTGCCATTTTTTGAACAACTACAGTTGTTGCCATGTGTGGTCTTGTCTACTGCAGTTGTCATGATTTCAAAACTTTAGGAGTTGCCACCTACTAATACTAGGCAGTTGCCATGTAGCGCTACAAAAAAAGCATGACAAAAAACATGTTCGGGTAAAAAAGAGAGTTGCCATGTGCTCACAAGCACGCTAGGGCAGTTGCCATTTAAAAAGAAAGAGTTGCCATCTGCTTACGTGCACGCTAGGACAGTTTGCCATGTACCATGCAAAACATATGGCAACTGACATGTTCGGGTAAAAAAAAGAGAGAGTTGCCATTTGCTTGCAATCATGCTAGGGCAGTTGCCATGTACACTGCAAAATATATTAGGGCAGTTGCCATGTACACTAACATATGGCAATTGACATGTTTGGGTGAAAAATAGAGAGAGTTGCCATCTGCTTTACAATCATACTAGGGCAGTTGCCATGTACACTGCAAAACGCATGGCAACTGACAGCTTGGGTGTGGGAGAGGAGGCGGGTGTGTGGGCGAGATGGCAAACGCCCACACACCAGCCCTTGTGCGTGACTGAAAATGTGTGGGCGAACTGCTAAACGTCCACATACCGGCCCCTCCGTGTGGTAAAACGGATATGTGGGCGACCTCTCTCACACACCACACACATGAGTTGTCCTACATGACATACAAAATCAGTTAATTCGTGTCAAGATTCATGCAAAAGTTACTGGACGGCGATGAAGACGTGTGGACGAGTTGGTTAACGCCCCACACGTATGAGCGTTAACATTTTTGAACGGCTCGTGACATGTCTATCTCATCGCCACTGCTGAAGATAATTCTTATTCGTTTAAGCAAAAGCAAGAAAAGTCCGCCGAGCTAACGTTGGACGATGGAGGCCCACCGGTCACATGCAGAGGACCCGGGTAAGAAACTGTTCCCGTGCACGCAAACCCTACCACGGAACCCCTTTGCCCAGTCTCAACCATCTCATCTCGCGCGTCACGTAGCAACGAGGAGAGGCAAATCGAGACGCGCTCAACGTATTCGTCGGCCGTGACGGCACCCGCAGTTTCCCACCCATGTCCACGGATCCGATCCACCCCATCTACCGACTCTAGGCCGGGCCTCCACGCCAAACCGCCCAGGCGCTCCCTGCCGCCGTGCCGTTGGCCCGGGCGGGCACGCCACGCGCAAAGATTCCAGTGCACGGGGCGCCAACCGCAGGGGTGCACGCCTCCCCCACGACGCCGCGCCACCTCCGATCCAAGGCCCCGATGCCTGCCGGTGCGCCGCACGCGGCGAAACGTGCCGCGCCCCGCTCCGGTCCCGTGTGCTCCCACCCAAAACCCTCGCCCGGCTCAGGCAGGGCCAGCCCTTTAAGTACCCGTCGCTCTCTGCAGCCTCGCCCACCAAGTACAGCACAGGCATTGCCGCACACACTCACCGTCTCGCCACGTGAGAGGAGAAGCCCGCAGCGCCGGTGCTTGAGCGGATCGGGAAAGGATGGCCGGCGGCGCGGACGCGGACGGGGAGCGCCGGATCGGGGTGGCCATGGACTACTCGGCCAGCAGCAAGCGCGCGCTGGAGTGGGCCGTCCGCAACCTGCTCCGCCGGGGCGACACCGTCGTCGTCCTCCACGTCCAGCGCCACGGCGGGGAGGACGCCAAGCACGCCGTCTGGGCCAAGTCCGGATCCCGTAAGCACCCGGCGCGCTCGATTCGGTCTCTCTTTGCTTCGATCTCAAGCTAGCTAACGCGGGCTCGGTCGCCTCCCCCGCAGCGCTGATCCCTCTGTCGGAGTACCGGGAGCCGGAGGTGATGAAGAACTACGGCGTGACCTGCGACGCCGAGGTGCTCGACATGCTCGACACCGCCGCGCGCCAGCTCGAGGTACCTTACTTTTTTGTACATGCGCGGGAGGTGTTCCGATCGATCCTCTGATTTGATCGATCGAGCATGGAGGAAGAAGAACGGACTGACTGCTTAATGTTGGTCTGATGATCAGCTGAAGGTGGTGGCGAAGGTGTACTGGGGCGACGCCAGGGAGAAGCTCTGCGACGCGGTGGAGGAGCAGAGGATCGACACCATCGTCATGGGCAGCCGCGGCCTCGGCACCATCCAGAGGTACCATACTACCCCGTCAAAATGTTGCTCCGGACATGTGCGATTCTTGGTCATAGTTTCCCAGAGCACGAAATCGCCGGTTGCTGCCTGCATAAAGTAGTACGGTATTCTTGTTCAGATAGGCAATCCTCACGTCGCTGGGGTTAATATAGTACTACTATCAGACATTGCTTGATTCGATTCGATGCATACGAAGCCAAATGTCCGTGAAGCAACACTTCAAGACTAGTAGTACCTTGGTCGCTTGGCTCGATTGGCTGCATCATTCCGCGTTTCAGGGCGCACAATGACTTAAATCACAGTATTCATTTCAATTAGAACACGGTTCACAGCTAAATGGGCAGTTAAGAACATGGACCATCAAGGCGTTCCCTTGCATTTGTTAACTTGCACGAGGCATGATCGCCGATTGTCTGTTGTCTAGAAAAATTGATCGGCTACCTGGGTGGCATCTGCATCGTGCTTGCCAGATTATTTGTGTGGTCAACTGAAACGGCGAGTGGTATTAAAATGCTCCCGTAACAGTTTAAGCATTAGAATTGTGTAGATAGAGTTGGTCGGCAACTACAGTGTTTGTGCTATTCGAGATCTACCGTAAATAAGTGTTCATCAGAGTAGAATGTGATTTATTTTTTTAATAGTTCTGGATCGATGACTTCGGTTGCATATCTTGTCAAACTTGTTTAGAGTTATCTTGATGAGTGTCCACGTCGCAATATTATGACCATCTCTAAATGAGTCTAAATATAGATTAATATAACCGTCAATTTTAAGACTGAGCAAAATGTCAATGCATTTCACACCTATTGATTCACCAGGCTCGGTCAGTCGTGCTGATCCTTGGGCATAACTCCTAATGTCAAGGACAACAGTGGTCAAATTATGTATTTATTGATAACCGTAGGCTTGGCTTTGGTTTATGTTATTAACAGATTTAGCTTATTCACATTCCACTGACGCCCTTTTCTTGCCCGACCGTGCTGCAGGATTCTTCTGGGAAGCGTGACCAACTACGTGCTGTCGAACGCGTCGTGCCCTGTGACAGTCGTCAAGGGAGACCGTTAGGTTTGCCATCGGTGTGCATCAGGATGCGCTTCATCGTTCTCTGCTCCGTTGCTGCGTCCGAATAAAGTATGGAGCCTGTTGTGTTTTCTGTATGCCGGACCTTGGCAGATTATTGTAGTCGTGTATGTTTCTGAACATTCGGGTTCAAATTCAGTAAAGTGTCGTTCTTTTTTTTTTTGCATGAAACTAGGGAGCTTATTACTCAAGTAGCATACGGTTACAATCTGCCTGGAGGCAAAGTTCAAGAAAACCTGGACTTTCACGAAGCCAACTCTCTGTCCCATCCAGCGTACAAGCACGTTGGGCACAAGTGTGGGCAGGGACATTAATAGATCTCCCGACATGGGTAACCGCAAAGAAATGAAGCTAGATACCATCTCCTCTCATTCTTCCAAAATAGGCGCTGCAACTGAGCGGGAATCACAGCGCGATTGCCAAAGGTTGACTAGCTCCAAGCAGTCAACCTCCATAGTAACATGGGAAAAGCCTCGGGGCTGTGTGAAAATCACCTCCTCCCAGAGTGCCATAAGTTCAGCCATAAAAGGGTATGTGATGCCGGGTAGTGGCTTGCTCCATGCTCCCAGGAAAGCAAGATGGGAACGGGCCACGCCCTCCGCTCCTCCCTTACGCTCATCGAAGTTTAACGTACCGCCGGTGTTGATAGTAATCCACACTGGATCTGGTGGTCGCCAACACTGACTAGCAGTGTTTTTGTTTCCTCTCGCCGGCAATTCCTAGAGTGAAAGTGTTTCATGTTGAAATAAAACCCCAAGCCCTGTCACGGTTCAGTTAGTTATTTTCCTGCCAGGCTAGTTTCCCGTTTTCTTCAGTTTTTCAGTTAGCTAGTTTAGCTCGCGGGCGCAACAGCCTGGAGCGAGTCTCGCGCCCCGTCGATCTGTTCGTGGGATGGCACGAGCGTAGTGGATCACGTGGGCGCGTAGTCAGGGGCCACGATCCCCGGTTTTCTTTCTGTACTCTGAATAAAAGGCAAGGAATAGAAGCAGAAAAGCTATGAAGTTTTACAGCGCAAAACCTAGTGTTCTTCGTCTACCTTGAGCTCCACGCGCGTGTGTGTGTGTTCATCGTCTCGGCACCTTGGGAGTGCTGACAATTGGTATCAGAGCCAGTTTCGGTCATGGGGAAGAGCAATCCGGCTCGCTCCCGTTCTGCCTTGCCGGACAACTCCGGGGCTGAGGCGAAGAAGGACGGCAAGGGCACCAGCGGCGGCGACGGCACACCCGCGCCCCTGCTGGGCGACGGCTCGAGGAGGGCATCCGGCCGTGAGCTAGCAATGCCACGGCCGCTCCGCGAGGCGACTGGATCCACCTCCTACCCCCCTGACGAGGACGAACTACGCAGAGTGGTCTCTCCTGATGAAGGTAATACTGCAGGCGAGAGGCCTGTGGACCGTCATCGAGATCGGTCCGTGTCCTGACGACGACGCTGATTATCGTGACGATCGCCTGGCGCTGGAGGCAATCCTCCGGGCCGTACCACCGGAGATGCTGGCGACGCTCGCCGTGAAGGAGACAGCGAAGGAGGCGTGGGACTCCATCAAGACGATCCGTCTTGGAGTCGACCGCGTGCGCAAGGCGAAGGCGCAGTCCCTCCGCCGCGAGTTGGACGACATCCGGTTCAAGGACGGGGAGACCGTCGACGAGTTTGCCCTTCGACTCACCGGTATGATGAATAACCTTGCTCTTCTCGGTGATGATCTGAAGGAAGAAAGGGCCGTGGAGAAATTTCTCTGGGTCGTCCCGCCGTGCTATGCACAGGTGGCTCTGTCCATTGAGACGCTGCTTGACCTGTCGAAACTCACGGTCGAGGAGCTCACCGGCCGGCTGAAGGCGGCGGAGGAACGCTACGGGCTGGACGGCGTCGCCCAAGGCGGGAACAGCCTGCTGTTCACTCACGAGGAGTGGATGGTGCGCCAGCAGAAGATCGACCAGGCCGGAGCCACCGGAGGCAGCAACAACCAAGCTGCCGGTGGCGGCGGACGCCGCAGCGGTGGCGGTGGCGGACGTTCGCGCGGTCGCGGAGGCGGCCGAGGCGGGCGCGGGAACCAGAACTCCGCTGGCAGTGCCGCCCGCAAGAACGACAAGTGCCGCTACTGCAACAACTTGGGCCACTGGGCCCGGGAATGCCGGAAGAAGAAGCGCGATGAGGAGGCGAACCTCGCTGAAACTGACGAGGAGGAGCCGGGCCTTCTGATGGTCCAGGCCTGCACTCCGGATGAGGGGAGCACGGCAGGGCCGGAGCTGGACCTGACTGCGCCCCAGACGTCCCTCGCGATCGCGGCGGCACAGGTGTTCCTCAACGAGGAGCGCGCGCGCGTGGAACTGCAGCAGTCGCCTGGCGACACTGATGCGGCCTGGTACCTCGACACCGGGGCGTCGAACCACATGATCGGCGACACGTCGGCGTTCGCGGACCTGGACGAGTCTGTGACGGGATCGGTCAAGTTCGGCGACGGGTCTCTGTTGGACATACGCGGGCGGGGCACGATGCTGTTCGCCGTGGCAGGCGGTCACCACCGTGGCCTCACCATTGTCTACTGGATACCACGCCTCAAGAGCAGCATCATCAGCATTGGCCAGCTGGACGAGGTCGGGTGCGCGACGCTGGTAGAGCACGGCACCATGACGGTCCGCGATCGTCAGAAAAATCTCCTCGCCAAGGTAACCCGTTCGGCCAAGCGCCTGTACATTCTGCATATCAAGACCGTGAAGCCGGCGTGTCTCGCCGTGAGCGAGTGCGACGGCGCGGGCTGGCGCTGGCATGAGAGGTTCGGCCACATCCACTTCCAGGGCCTTGAGAGGATGGCGCGCACCGGCATGGTCACCGGGCTTCCCCTCATCGTCCACGCAGAGCAGATCTGCGAGGCGTGCCTCGCTGGCAAGCAGAGGCGGGCTTCATTCCCGCAAGCTGCCAAGTATCGCGCGACGGAACCACTAGAGCTGGTCCACGGCAACATCTGCAGGCCGATCTCACCGGCGACACCGGGCGGGGAGCGCTACTTCCTCCTGCTGGTGGACGACTACAGCCGTTACACCTGGCTCGTCTTGCTGCGCTCCAAGGACGAGGCGGCCGAGGCGATCCGCCGGTTCAAGGCCGCCGCGGAGACCGAGTCGCGCCACACTCTGCGCACGTTCCGCACGGATCGCGGAGGCAAGTTCACGAGCACGGCGTTCGCAGAGTACTACGCTGACCATGACGTGCAGCGCCACCTGGCGGCGCCCTACTCCCCACAGCAGAACGGAGTAGTGGAGCGCCGCAACCTGACCATCGTGGGCATGGCGAGGAGCATGCTCAAGGCCAGGGGCATGCCGGCTTTCTTCTGGGGTGAGGCTGTCACTACTGCCGTGTTTCTAATGAACAGGTCATATACAAGGAGCCTGGCTGGAAAGACACCATTTGAGGCATGGTATGATCGCAAACCAAACGTGCACTTCCTGCGTGTCTTCGGTTGCGTAGCTCACGTCAAGGACACGCGCCCGCACCTGGCGAAGCTGGCTGACAGGAGCAAGGCGATGGTGTTCGTCGGGTATGATCCGGGAGGCAAGGCCTACCGGGCGTACGATCCCGCCACCAAGCGCGTGCACGTCACGCGCAATGTTGTCTTCGACGAGCGCGCGAGCTGGGACTGGCAGCAGGAGGTGAACGCTCCCGGCGCGGCGACGTTCACTATCGAGTACGGGCCGGCCGCTGTGTTTGAGGGGGTGCCTCGCTCTGCACCGGTGTCGCTGGCCCCTCCACCTCACGCCAGCTCTGGCGGGGACACAACTACAGCAGGAGCCGACGCGACCACTCCACTCACGCCGGCGAGCACCGACGGGAGGGATCTCAATCCTGAGCTCAGCCCTGTCGTGTGATGTTCTCCGCCAAGCGCCTCGCCGGCTCCGATCGAGTCGCCACCAAATGACCACGCGGGCGTGCACCCGATGGTGACGCGTGCGCGGGACGGCATCGTGCAGCCAAATCAGCAGCTCACGGACTACATCCTCGACCTCGACGACCTCGACGACGAGGAGCTGC